TGTGGAAGATGACTATCCACAGTGACATGGCTGGTGTGTGATGTGCCTTTACTTCCTTAGAAGGCAGTCCCATAGTTCAGCCTAGAATTAAAATGGGAGAAGACCAGAGAGTGAAAATATCCCAGGAAATGTTTGATTTGATGGTATTTTCTTTAAGCAAGAAAAAAGGACTGAAAAATGTTTATGCTATAATTCATGAAAAAAAATAAATCACAAAGTTAACTTTCTCTTCAATATTTTGAAAAATATTTTTACTGATTAATGGGACAAAAGACTCAATAGACTTACTAATGAATGAAGAAGTTAAGAATTGTTTTTTGTCACATAACCATGAAGAATGCACTGACGTCAATGTAAATGAGGATAAATTTTCATTTTCTAATGTGCTCTAGGTATAGCTCAGAAAATTAGTTAATCAGCACTCTGAGAATTTAAAAATTTTTGAAGGATGGAAAGCCTTATCTCTTCTCCTTTTGAAATTACTTTAAACACTTGGGGATATGAATCTGTCAGTAATTAGGAATTAGTCAAAGAAAGGCCTCTTACTTATAATGAATCCCTGCAAAAGTCTCCGTTTATGAAGTAAAATGGGACACACTGGAAAACTGGGAGAAAAGTTTCTGAGTTTAATTGGTTAGAAATTGAAATTATCTTTAGGGATTATGGTAATAAATAGCTGGGATCAGAATGACCCAAACACAAAATAATCTAAGAATTCTGAGGGATGAAATTTAAAAACAAAGTCATGGGCAGGGGATGAAGGGATATTCTTATATTCTTTCTTTTCTTTCTTTCTTTCTTTCTTTCTTTCTTTCTTTCTTTCTTTATTTCTTTCTTTCTTTCTTTCTTTCTTTCTTTCTTTTTTTTTGAGACAGAGTCTTATTTTATCACCCTCAGTAGAGTGCTGTGGTGTCACAGCTCACAGAAACCTCCAACTCCTGGGCTTAGGTGATTCTCTTGCCTCAGCCCCCCAAGTCGCTGGGACTACAGGCACCCACCACAACATCTGGCTATGGAGGGACATTCTTAATCCTGCTTCTGCCTTTATCCTGCCTCAATTCTCCTTTAGTAAACTCTGTGTTGACTGAAGTGTGTATCTAACAGTGTGTAAAAGGTCAGGGCTAGCTACCTAAGCTGCATTTAAAGGATTTGCCTTTTGTACCACAGATTCCTAATTTAATGCTTCTGATCTATTACAATTTCATATTCAAGATATGAGCTATTTTTTAATGAATATAGAAAGTCTAATGAGAAAAGTAGCTGGTGAAGTATTTACTTTGTCTAGATGATGCTATATGCATTTGACATATATTCACTAGTAGACATCTCACTACAACCATAAGAAATGAGGATGTCATTACTATCTCCATTTTACAGATGAATCAACTGAGGCATAGGTAACTTAAGGGACTTGCCTGAGCCCCGCGGCCTACCCATGATGACACAGTGACCATGTAGATATACTAGGAGATTCTCTCAGAGCAGAACTATCAAAAAAGGGTTTATAGCAATCATTCGTTATTGGCATAGGTTTGGTAGCTAGCACATTTGCTCTAGAGGTCATGTCTTAATGTTATCTGGGCTTCTTTAAGACTAGATGCTGAACTTGGGGGAGTGACAAGGATCACTTTAGATTCCACCTGCATACATGCAATTAAAAATTAGTTAATTGTGACATACAGATAATGTAAGATATTGAATATAGAACAGAATGGCGGAAGCCTGTGGTGAAAGACAGAATGGAAACATTGAATCCATTGATTCTAGGACCTCCGATTCTTCCAAAATGGTATCTAAAAATGAAATCTTGCTCTTGTTTTACGAAGAGCTATGTATTATCACAAACCTGTTAAAAATTGATAACAGAAGAGAAAAATCGGTTTTGCGATTGGGTGGCTACTTGCTGCAGTAAGGAATATGGATTTCCTAACAAACTTAAAGATATATTAATTCTTCTTGGTGAGTAGAATGTTTATGCAGGGAAAAAAGCTGTAATAGTGCATAGTTGTGTAATTGCTGAAAATTATGAACACATTTTGTTTACTAAGTTAAATTACACTGGTGAGTTTATTTAATTGTCTTTTGATTCATTAGCCATTTCTTTTCAGGTACATGACAGATGGAGGACTCAGCCTGTACACTAGAAGCCTGAACCGACTACCAGACCCGGTGACATCCAGGGATGGCATCCAGAGAGGGGTCCATGACGTGACAGTGGACGCAGACAGGTAATGCTGTCAGCCTAGGGAGGGCAGCCAGTGCATGAAGCAGTTTTCCAAGTAACATCCTAAGAGAAAACTCATTTATAAATAGTATAAGGCAAAAGGATATGATTTTGAAACAACTGCTTTGGAATATTTTAAAACTAAGACAGTTTCATTTGCAGGATCTTTTTAGCTCTGTAATACTGAAAAATTATGTTACTAGCAAAAATAGTTTTTAATGTCAGGTTGTATGGTGGCAAATTTTGATATTTGTAAAAGCAAAATAATAAACGTAGACTTATTTTCCTTATTAGAAAGGGACCTTGGCTAAAATTTTTCTTTTAATTTAATTTGGATACCCTTAGATTTGCCTGGAGGATAAATATATAAAGATTAAAACATTTCAAATCACCAAGTGCAATAAGCTTGGTGCTTTTCTTGAGGGTGTGGTTGGAAACATACAACTGTTGTTTTAAGCTAACTTCTGTTTCTGCACTGCCTCCCATTACTTGAAGAGGGGTGTGTGTGTGTGTGTGTGTGTGTGTGTCATATGCTAGGTTAGATATTGCTTTGCTGGAAATTGCTCTGTTGGTTTTATCAGAATCATCACTGTTGGAGAACATTGCCTTTGTAAAATAGTGTTAAGACATATTCCTGACCTGATTTTGCTCCCTCTCTAGTCAGAATTTTGCCTTTATTGAGCAGGAAGGAATCACACATCTCCACTTTGCACTATTAATTCCTAGAGTAGTTTGTTAATTCGGCATTTATAAGGAAGGTAAGACTTAATGAATGTATTCACTTTCTGAAATAAGAATTGTATGAATTTCTGTACAGTGAGCCGCAAAGGCTAGACAGTGAATTCTAATCTTCCTCCTCAGCTTCTCCTCCCTCATTTGCTGGTGATCCCTTAACTCATGTCGGCCGAGAACAGTCTCAGTTCTCACCCTGGACGTATCCTGCTCTGCGGGCCTGTATATACCACACGTGTGTGCATGTACCTGCATGTGTGTGTTTGCGTGTGGGAAACATGAATTACAAGTGGCTTATGACAAATTCTCCCCACACCAACTTCTCTTCAGCCACCTCCCCCTGCCTCCTCCATGAACTTTGTCCAGCTGGGCTTCCGTCTGACCTTTGAACGGCCCAAGGACATTCCATCTCAGAGGCTTTAACTGATACTTCTTTTACTAGGAATGGCCTTTTCTACATTTCTTGCTTTCTTGCCTTCATCGCATTATTTCCGTGTCCTGGTGGTGTTACCTTCCTGGATAACTGTGCGTGTCCAGAGTAGCTGAGATAGACTCCTCCAGTCGCTGGCTTCCCACTGCTCGTGGCACCTTCTTCACAGCACATGTCACTCCCTCTCGGGTCACACTCATCATTTATGTGTTTGTTTTCTGTCTTCCCCATTACAATGTAAACCTGCCGGGGCAGAGATTTTTGTTGCATTATTTACATGTTAAGATTTTTAACAAATACTTGTGAATGAACAAATGATTTGAAGGAGGCTGATTACTCCTCCAGGTTACAGATTCATCTAGGCTGGAATAAGGCCCAGTTGGGCAGAGAGGCGAGGGAGGCCAGGGAGGAGCCAAGGGCCTGGAGGACGAGAAAGGATTATGTGAAAAAAATAGGAAACAGTAAGCAGAGGGGAAGAGACCCAGAGTGTGGATGACATTTTGAAACTAATAACCCATTATTGTATTCTAATTAATTGATGGTGGAAAACATCAAAGGGGGGGAAATCTGCTAGTGTTTGACAGATGAGGTTGTGATGGGACAGCCTAGGAATCAACAAAGGCAACTTCAGTCTGTAGACACTTGGGGTAACCAACTCTCCTTGCTCTGTGAGGCCCCAGATTGGGCTCTAGCTAAGGAACCTTAGAACAATAGAAAGACCTAGCAATTTTAGTAATAAATTGGGGTCTGTGAAAACAATGGCTTGTAAAGTGTAATACCTGAACCAGCAATATCACTTCACTTGGGAACTTGTTAGACATGTATGTTCTCAGCTCCATCCAAGGTTTACTGCGTTAGAATCTCTGGGGGTAAGGCCCAGCATTCTGAGCTTTAACCAGCCCTCCAGGTAATTCGTAAATACATTAAAGTTCAAGCATCACTATATTATTATAAAAAGAACAAATAGAAACCAGGCCCACAAAAATATAAACCCTTAGAACCAACATTTACAGATGTTAAAATATGATACTTTGAAGGTCTTATTTTCTTTATTATTTATGTTCTGTCAAGACAAAGAGGATATCAAAATGTTAAAATACACTCATGGCAATAATCTTTAAATTAGATCAAATAAGGACTTGTTACACCAAAGAAAAATTGCCTCAGGTTGATAAATACTGTTTTAGAGGGTTACATTAAGGTTTTTATAAAGAATTTTGTAATTGAAGAAGTACAAAAACCACCTCAGCCACTTGTATAAAATTAAAAGCAATACTATTGTAAGTCTAAAACTTCCCATTAGCAAAAAGAAGTTTCCTTTTCATGATAAATCAATCTGAATGTCTTTTAAAACCCTATATTCAGCAAGTGACTCAGGCTACGTATAATTTTAAAATGCTTGATCTTAAATATTATAGTTATGTAAGTCTTTGTGTTAAAGTACTTCCCTGTATAAAATGCTGTTTCATCCAGTTATTTAAACTCTGATATCCATTCTGAATGGGAAAGGCAGGAGGGCTATGAAGTACTACCTCTTTGTTAATTTTTACTCAACAAAAAGGAAATTACTATAATTGAGATTACAGAAAACCTTTTTCCTGCTTATTTGCCTCAACCTTTTAAACCTGGCGTCTTTAGAACATAGAAGACAACTGTTCACAATGACAGCTGGGCAAATTTATAAAGCATAGTAGATCTGGTAAGAAAAAAGACACACAAGTCCTTCATGGCGTTATCTTCTGATGGGTCTCTAAACACACCTTCTCTGATCCTACAGCAAGGTGTCCATTTTTCAATTATGCAGTCACATCAGTAATTAATTACATGTTTATCTTTCCATGCCTATTTCAGTACTAGGGTATGAGACATTTGAATGTAGAGTAACATAACTCATCTTTGTATTCCCAAAGCCTAGCATGCTGCGGGAACTCAATCAATATGGCAGAAATGATGACATCGACTTATAAAATATAGCAATGTGAGTTTAAAAAGAAAACTATCAAATGCATCAAAAAATGATCATAATGTTTGTTAAAAGACCTTTCAGATATCATGTAGTTTGGATTTTTCCAGTGCGTCTTATCCGATAGTAGATATTCTGAGTCAAAAATCAGTTTTCTGAAGTTATGTACATATAACACTGAAAATCATCTCTTCATACAGAGTAATGATGAATATTAACACAGCAAAGGTACTGAGAACTCAAAGAAGAATCTGTTTAACTTTAATCCATTTCTCTGTAAGCTTTTCATCATTGACTTCTTCACTTTTTTCTCTATGATAAGAAAAAACATTATTCCTGTAACATTTTAATATATGTTCATTTGGCCTAATGCCTTCACTTATTGGATATAATGGCAAAACTTTAAAATTTAGAAATATTGGCTTATCAAGGTCATATAACTAATAGCACAAACAATCTGGTCTTTTACCTTCTATCTTGTTCCTATCTGTGTAAAAGGTCTTTTAAATAATATGAAACAAGGTGAAGGATTAGGGTGTGTGACATGCCTTTTGGGGGTGGGACACAATTATAAGAGGGACTTCAACAAATGCAATCAATATAACCTGGTTCTTTGTACCCTCAATAAATCCATAACAATAAAAATGAATAAATAAATAATGAAAAATATAAAACATATTAGTGTTTGATTCATTAAATAATAGGGCTTATAATAGTTCACTGATAGCAAAGCTCAGAAGCCAAAAGAAAAAAAATCAATGGTGTATAATTTCTTATAAATTCAAAAGCTAAGTAAGTGAAAAAGCAAAGACTCCTCACATAAGGGTAAAGTGCCGGCTTGCTAAAGTGTTTGTGTTGTTACCGTGGAGACTGGGTTCCCTCTTCACCAGCTTCTGATTAAAATGTGAATGGACATTTGGGAATGACCAAATTCCTGTTACCTTGAGATTCAAAATAGCCTGAAGAGGAAGACTTTCAGCAGCTAATTGTAGCCAATTCTAAATATTTTATGCTTAAAGATACTATAGTTCCCTTACTTTCCAATACCAACCCCAATTCCTTATTAACCCAAGAAAAGATGACAGAATGGGTGTAATCCTTATAGATGTGTCAGTGAATCTCCATCAACTTCACCGATAAATTTATAATCATTAAGGTGTGTAGGTTTTTGTCTATTGTATTATGCTATGTTTAAAAGTTGCATTTTGGGTGTTGTGGGGTGGTGGTGGTTTTGACCTTTATTAGGTCCTAATACTGTCTTTACACTAGTTTCTAACATTGCCAAATATTTGATTAATACATATGAATATTATTACCTTTTAAGGGCCTATAATCATAATAGCATCTTAAATAAAAATAAAATGATAATAGTGAAAGATCTTAAGTTTAATGGTAAGAAAGTATAATGTGAACAAAAAATAGTCATAGTAAATTGGCCAGTCCTAATAGATAACGTATATAACGTCCTTTAGAAGCACTACAGATAATGATTTCTGCCTGGGAGAATAAAGACAGACTTCAAAAATCAGTATGGTTTAAACAGGGACTTAAAGCAAAAGACTTTTCAACACATAGCTTGGGAGAAATCAGTAGGAGGGAAAACACAGAGGCACAGAAGAGTTTGGTGTGAGGAGCCAGGGGTGGGTCGCTGAAGTACCCTGGGAACATGGGCAGGGACGACAGGGTCCAAGGACCTGGGTGATAAGGTGCTAGGTAACTAACTTTAGTGTGTGTGTGTGTGTGTGTGTGTGTGTGTGTGTGTGTGTTTAATTTCAAAGCAAGGGCAAATGCTACAATCATTGTATTTTAAAAAGAACTCTTCTATAGCAATCTTAGATATTAAAGATGAAAGATACAAAGATAGATGGACTTCCTTGGA